ACAACACACAATAACACACCACCACCACGTCAGTGTTACTGCAGTGCTAAGAATGATCCACCACCCAAATAGTACCTGTTCTGTGAGGGTCCATGGGGGTCCTGACCACTGAAGAACAAGGCAAAAGGGGCCTAACAAAGTATGCAGAGAAACAGATGGACTACAGTCTGTAATTGTAGAACTACAAAGTGCACCTATATAGTAAGTGGAGCTGATAAAATGGACAATGAGCATAGAAACAAGGAGGTGGTCATAATGTTATGCCTGATGGAGTTTATTAGTCAAATGTCAAATACCTTATGTTCAAAAAATTCTTAAAGAGGAATTCCACAGATTTTTCCAAATGTTTATATAATTCAATCATTAAAACAAAGTCGTCTTTAGTGGTTTGATGAGAAAGTCAGAGTCTGTCCATAACAGTAGTGATAGGTTTAATGCCTCTAAAAGGTCTCTCACAGTTTGAAATAGCTACAAATAGGTTGCCTGATGTCTGAGACATTGTTTTACAATAGTATTGTCATGGGGTTTTGACCTAAACATATTTTAAATACATTCAAGGCAGAGTGGTAAGAGTAGGGTATTGCAATGCAAAAATAACAAGAAAACATATTTTTTCCTATTTTACCACTATTTTACATTAAAACTTAAATGACCTGAATATGTTCACTGGGTATTTTGGATAATGAATGACTATATTTACATTGCAAGCTCTGGAGAAAAAATGTGATCAAAACACCATTTCACATCAAAACACTCCAGGCTACTTTGTTTACATTTGTTACATGTTGAATTATGCAGCAATGTTAAAATTTAATGTCCATTTAAACCACAGAAGAGTCATAGCAAATCTGAGTTTTTAATATGTCAATAAAATGTAACTGGTTTGAAGGAAAAGAATTAATCTCTCTTAAGATACACTTAAATGGGTTTTCAGTTGTTAAGTCATTTTGAAGTGTAGCTTCAAATATTGCATGCAGAAACAGCTGATTTAATTATAGATCCACAGTCAATAGAAATGTGAGAACAATACATAAACTAAAACCTTATGTAAATAAATCTGAAAAGTGATCAAAAGATTACATTTCAAAGACTTGTTTGAAATTACTAAAATGAAATATCATTCTTAGTGTTGTATGAAGGTGTTCAACTCGGTATTTAAGATTTAGAAACCGACAGGGAAAACTTCAAAAATGCATAACTGATAAACTCTTTGAAACACAGCTTAAAATGTTTACATGGTTGTATGAATAGAAGTTTGAGTAGCAGTTTTTTTGTATTATTATTATGACATGGGCTGCTAGGCATAGCTGGTGTGGAATAACCCAAAATTGTACAATTAAAAGTACAATCCACCAGAATATTCATGAGTTATAAGGATGCCTAAACACTTCTGAAATCTTTTAGACAGGAAGTGAGTTTTGCGCTCTGAATGATTGTCTCAGAGCTTATTTCTCTCTCACATAAGTCTCTTAACCACTGAGCAGATGGGGACAGGCCACTGTTGGGGGTGGGGACAGCTGTCCCCCCTTCTCGGGTGTTGTAATGTAGGTTCTTTCCTTTTAGAACCTAAACCTGCTATCAGGGAGCACTACCCTCCAATAGGGTGAGAGCATGCGGGCACAGAGCAACCAATAGGCATTAAGCATCTGGGTATATAAACCAAGGTCTGACATCTTGCAAAGTTGGGCAACCCCTACATTGGCTTTGGTGGACAGGATCTGATCCCAAGGACTGTTACCTCTTTCTCACGTGCAGGTAATCATAACTGTGGCTCTACAGATCAAAACGGGTGGGAAATGGGGAACAAAAATGAAAAGTTCCTGGAAAAAAAAGGCACAGTTAAAGGAAAGATTTTTTACATTTTTAAGTAGTGTTGCCTTAAAGGTAGTCAGCAGTTTTCAGGAACAAAAAATTGGCCAAAATCTCACCAGTAGTTTGTACTCTCAGGATGCAATTATTTGGAGGCATCTGCAGTTTTTCTGGAGCTCCTGTTGTGAAGTTTTAAAAAAACAAGGTCAATTGTGCACCGCTGGTGCCGATACTACTCATGCAGTGGATAATATGTAATGGTTGCAAGGATTTAGGGGCACTGAAATTGATTATAAATGGGTTTCATACTACACAAACATCTGAGATCTGCATGTAGAGGTCTTTGTCTTAGGCTACATTAACTGTGAGGAACACCTGTTGCACAAGGTCAGCTGTTGTGGCAAAAGGGCACAATCGGACTGATTTAGAGTTTGGTTTAAAGGCAATGAGAGGATCTTCTTTTGAAACATAATAAGTGTTGCAAGTGTTGCATAGATAACAGATGAGACTTGGTGGTTTCAAAGCCTTAGTTTTAAATTCTGTGGAATTCTGCATGTAGTAATATGCTTAGGTTACAGTTAACTAAACTAACAGTACTAAATTGACTTTTAATGAAATGTTGCCATTACCATTGTGAGTACAGGTAGAAGAATCTCTCTCACATGAACAAGTTCTAACTTTGGTGTGGACATGCATACACGCCACCCCCCATGGAAATAAGAGAAGTGCATGGGCTATCTGGAGTGAGAGTTTGGCAGACATGCTAAAAATATCTTGTGAAGTCCGATACATATAAGTATGCAAGCCATGCCCCCCCACCACTTTATGCAGAAATATGAAGCTGTGGTTACAGTTAGCCAGTCACCTAGTTACTATGAGACCAAGGTTCACAGAGGATACAAAATATTTCACTTGTGACAGCTAGGAATAGCCCTGAACTGCTATTAGCATTCCGCTCTCGCTCTAACAATCTTAGCATGTCCTTTCTGCTGAAAGTAGTAAGGTTTTTTCTCAGAGTGCAGAAGAGCTTTCAGATGTTAGCTGGGTTACAGAGGGACAAAACATAACAGCTACACCGTCTCTTAATTTTATATTTCAACAGATCATCTAAAAAGTGCAATCATGGCTAAGAACTGCCACAACGACTACAAAATGAAGTTCTCTCTGGAGGAGGAGTACCCTGACCTCTCTCAGCACAACAACCACATGGCCAAGGCACTGACCAAGGACATCTACAACAAGCTGAGGAGCAAGTCTACCCCAAGTGGCTTCACTCTGGATGATGTCATTCAGACCGGTGTGGACAACCCTGGTAAGAAGGCCTACAAAAAAAAGCAAGAAAACATTTTAGCAATGAGGAACTTTGCTATAAAATTACTGTCATTCATAGTGGTTTGGGTTACTGGAAAGTACTTTGATTAAATCCCAGGGGAAAAAAAAGACACAGAGCTCAAGCCAAGTCCATTTCAACAGCATGTTTCGTGACTTACACATCCACATTTTCCTCACTGTTTCCAGGCCACCCCTTTATCATGACTGTCGGCTGCGTTGCCGGTGACGAAGAGTCCTATGAGGTCTTCAAGGATCTCCTTGACCCCGTCATCTCCGACCGTCATGGTGGCTACAAGCCCACTGACAAGCACAGAACTGATCTGAACTGGGAAAACCTGAAGGTATGGAAAAATTCCATAATCATTTCTTGTTTGAATCAGAGGAGGAGAAAACCTTAGACAGCTTAGGAATAACCTTCTTCCCTTGTGCAGGGTGGTGATGATCTTGACCCCAACTATGTTCAGAGCAGCCGTGTGCGTACTGGCCGCAGCATCAAGGGATTCACCCTGCCCCCCCACAACAGCCGCGGCGAGCGCAGAGCTGTGGAGAAGCTGTCCATTGAGGGTTAGTCTTGGTCACTGAACTTGAAGGACACTTCAGTTCTTCAGTCGCATAACTATATTACTTATATATTAGTTTCATAGTACCTACTAAATAATCCACAGTAAACTAAAGACATTTCCACTCATAAGCAGAAGCTCTGAGCCTCGCCAACCTTGCTTTGGTCTTTTTACCCCTCACAGCTCTGACCAGCCTGGACGGTGAGTTCAAGGGCAAGTACTACCCCCTGAAGGACATGACCGAGAAGGAGCAGGAGCAGCTGATCGCTGACCACTTCCTGTTTGACAAGCCTGTCTCTCCCCTGCTGCTGGCTGCTGGCATGGCCCGCGACTGGCCTGATGCAAGAGGAATCTGGCACAACGACAACAAGACCTTCCTGGTCTGGGTGAACGAGGAGGACCATCTCCGTGTCATCTCCATGCAGAAGGGTGGCAACATGAAGGAGGTCTTCAGGAGGTTCTGCGTTGGTCTGCAGAAGGTAAGAACTTTTGTGGACTTGGATTACACCTAGTCTTGGAATAAACTTCAGTGTCAACTGTCTTACTCCATTAAAAATCACATTTATTCTAGTTATACAGTCTGGAAAAATGGCCCTTACTACATAATCATGTTTGCTAGCACACTATAAAAACATGTCCCTGAAATTGATGTCCTTCACTTTGATACAGATTGAGGAAATCTTCAAGAAGCACAACCATGGATTCATGTGGAACGAGCATCTTGGTTTCATCCTGACCTGCCCATCTAACCTGGGTACTGGCCTGCGTGGTGGTGTGCACGTCAAGCTGCCCAAGCTCAGCACACACCCTAAATTTGAGGAGATTCTGACCAGACTCCGTCTGCAGAAGCGTGGCACAGGTACACTTAAAACCAGCCAAGTTCAATGCTAATCTGATTCTCAACTCAACACTATTTGTCCTCACATCGATGGATTATCTGTTTGACCTTCCTTCTTTGCTTGCTCTGTACAGGTGGTGTGGACACTGCCTCCGTCGGTGGTGTGTTTGACATCTCCAACGCTGACCGTCTGGGTTCCTCCGAAGTGGAGCAGGTGCAGCTTGTGGTTGATGGTGTGAAGCTCATGATTGAGATGGAGAAGAAGCTGGAGAAGGGCGAGTCCATTGACGGCATGATCCCTGCCCAGAAGTAAAGTGGAAATAGTTCTTTGTTTTTGTTTTGTATTCATTCTTATGAGAAACCTTGTCATCATGCAGGAAAAATGCTCTCGTCTGACTTTTCCAAGAGACTCTCCTCCCTGCTCCCTCTCCTTCTTCCTTTTTAATCCTTTCTCTCTATCCTGTTGCCTTCAACTTTTTTCTTTTGCCCTCCTTTTTACTGTCACCCTTACCATCTTTCCCGTTCTTTCTGTAACATCTTGGGATCAAATCGCCGCATAGCTTGGGAACTCTGACTATGCTGTCTTCACCTAAACATTTTTTGGTTGTACAAATTGAGTAAATAAAAAGCCCCATGTAACAATCAACTTCATGTGTTCTGCTTCATGCTTTTAGCTCATGCCAACTGGATAGATGGATGTAACTTTGTTTACAGCAGCGGTCACCAACTTACATATTGGAGATCTACTTTTCTGCAAATTTTAGTTCCAACCTGCATCTAACCTGCTCCTCATACCTACAGTAAAGGACCTGATCCAGCCAAAGAAGTTACTAAACTGGAACAGGTGTGGCAGATTGTGGTTCGAACTACAGTCCACAGAAGGTAGATCTCCAGAACCAGCGTTGGTGACCACTGTTTTACAGTGTTTTACAATCAGCACATAAACGAATTCACTAAAAGGTTCCACTTTTAGCGGAAAACACAAAGAGTGCAAATAAGTTTTAAACTCAGTGAGTTTATTCTTCTGTCACTTCAGACGTCCCCCTTTCCGTACATTTAAAGGCAAAAAAAAATCTAGAACTTTCAAAAGAACAAAACTAAATTCAGTCATAATTTAACTTTTTTTTTCTACACAATTATACATTTTGAAGTAGTCAGTTAGCTTTGCAGGAGCAGAAGAGACGGTATATGGTGATTTATCTCGGGAGAACATGATTGCTAGTCCAAACCGTAGACACTGAGAACCTGCATAAACATTAAGCAAAATAGTGGGCTTGAAATGTCGCTTGTTGTTAAAGGGTAAACTGTGGACCAGAAAAAAAATGCCTCTTTCTTGGTCAGGATGACTAAGGCAACTTCTTAATCTGGTGTCAATACATGCCATTTGCCAGCAAAGAATTAAATTTTTTCCAAAACACTAACATCTTTTTTTGACTGTTTCAAAGACTACCTAACATTTACATACCAACAACAATCCAAAACTTTTTTTTCTCAAAAATGCATAACTTGCCTTTTGCCCTATGAATGACGCCATTCACCCACTGACTCTCTCCACAAACACACTTTCTGCTTTATCAGAATGACTTTTTTTCAAATCCTGACTGTGATTGTTAAAAGTCACGCATATAATTCCAAACCTTGTTCAAATAGTAGGCTTTTAACTTGACTATATTTGCCCTGGAAAATTCCTTTGAACCAGTAATCAAACTCTGCTGGTATTTCCTCACAATCAGGAACTACAGCAAGGTTTTAATCAGAACATCTATTAGTTATTTTGGGTCGCACAGTTTCAAAAATAACATGAATATGCTGACCTAGTTGCAGAAGCCATTGGTGACGCAATGTTTATACGACTGTGAATAGTTCACACTGCCATATGAAGTCAGCAATGTGCCAAGTCACTAAAGTAGTAGACAGGGTGAATAGTATGAAACTTGGTATATTCTGCAATGTACCCAGTTTACAGATCCTGCACCTTGCATTAAGTGATTTTCTCACAGACCTCTGAGCATGGCACATACAGCTGCAATGGTTCAGGTCAATTGACTATATGCATTTCAATTCAATTCAATTCAATTCAATATCACTATTATAGATCACCAGTGAACAGCAAGCGAAGCAAATCTAGATTTTACAGTCACGTTTATATCAGAAAGACAGAATTGGCTTTAGTGTCTTTTTTTCAAACAACAAAAACTGGGATGCGGAATTTGACACAGTAATAGCTCGTTTATGTACAATTCAGAAGAATTTTGGATCTCTTCCAGGTGACACGGTCGTGGCTCATAACAAAAACAATTACATTTTCAATATTTTGCAAATCGCTCAATCAAATCTTGGCCCACACATCTCTACAGATAGCCCTTGTGCCTTAGCAAACCCAGAACGGTGCTGATAGGAACAGTATAGCTATAGTTATCCTTAATGAAGGATACCTGTGGTTTGTCCATCTCTACAACACCCTAGCATTACTAAAGTGATCCATTACAAACAGTAATTATGACTCTTTTTAAAGGGGCCTTTCGGGCTAAAAGTACAAACAAAGTCATTTACAATAAACAGTACTGAGAACATATCACAGGATAATTTGGCAGACAAATGTTAGCACCCCAACACTTCTTGTCACATTACCAAAAATAGTACTTCAACAACTGCTAGATGACATCAAGGCTATGACTAGACTTGCACATTCCAGGGTTTCATACAAACGCTGTACTAATTAATTTCGCACAGTGCAGGGAGCTCTGCTAGAGAGATGTTTTCTTCTTTAAGGTCATTTGCTATATCAAATCAGTGGTAAACAGCAGTCTTATGTCCATTGAGCAGGGTCCTCTTTTGGCCATGTGACAGGCTTTTTACCAGCTAAATACTTACAGGAGTGTTGTATTTTTGACTTGGCTCGACGAGTGCGCTGTACCATTTAAGGGGAAATTACAGCTCAAAAGAAGTGGTGCTCACTCAAACCTAAAGTGCTACTGTATGATAATGGAGCATGTATAACAGAAAAAAACTGCTGAAACGCAGGAAAGAAAAAAAAAATCCACAAAAGGCTACAATGTTAGTGGCTCAGAAAAGCAGCCGTCGCTAATCTCTGAAACAGCTCTAGACAGCTTTTATTCCCGTTAGACAGCTCTAACACCTGTAATTAGGCAGCTTTTCACGTGGAAAAACGTTAATACAAAAGATGTAAGAGAACCCACAGTCCGCAGTTCTTCAGGACATCTGTTTTAGAACCGAAGATGTGAGTTTCATATGAAAAGGAAAAAATGGAATTTTGCAACTGACCCTCTTGCTAGATGCAAGTAAATGAAAAATAAACTAAATAGCAGCTGTTCAAAGGAAATAATGTGAAAGGCAGAGACACTGTGGTATTTCTGGAAAAAACTGGAATAGAAAACAACTTGGCTAAAACACCCAGTAAAAGTCAGCGGGGAAAGAAGGGTGTTCTCTCAGCAGGACGTGTGTGTGTGGCAGGCACAAGGCTCTCCGCATTTGGGTGTATTTCAGAGTCCATATCAGAGTCTGTTTGAGCTGCGAGGAGGTGGGGGTGGGCTTCGGCTTTGTGGAGTGGGAGGTTCCTCCTAAGGGTGTAAAAATGCATCTGAAGGGGGCGATTCAACTGCACCGATTTTAGAATGATATAATTCATTACAATTAATTATAACAATATTTCCATATATTGTAATATTAATTGTGACAATTATTAATTATAATACAATGAATACACAATAAAAATTAGGAATACTAATACATTAACCGGCCATTATATATTAGTATTCCTATATATTTTATAGTACTATAAGCATCCGATGAATGTTTTTTCTTCACTGCTGTGTAAATAGTTTCTCCATTCACATTAAGCTTTTAAATTTAATGTTTAAACAGAATTCTGAATCGTACCGAAATAACTGAATTAAATTAAATTGAGAATGGTTTCCTAAAGAATCATTACCCAGCCCACAAGGTCACAGATTTACACCCCTGGTTTCTCTGCCTCCCACCGCTCATTCCGTCCCATGCTCTCGCCCGTCCCCTCCCTTCCACCCCCTCTGTGGCCCTTAGAGTTCCAGCTCTTTGGACACTTTGGTGGCGATGTCCCGGAAGGCAAGCGGCGCCCCCCACAGGCGTCTGAAGCGGACGCCGCTGGTCTCGTTGGGGCCGGCGGGCAGCTGACACACCTCAGCCTCGAAGGCCACTCTTGAGCCGGCGGCGCCGTGCGTGCAGGACAGCAGGAAGGGTCCGGCCTGGTGCACCTGACAACCGCAGCCCTGCGCCGCCTCCCGCAGCGCCGACACCACCTCCGCAGGGTCCCGCGGGCTCCGCACCCTCACATCCCAGCCGCATCGGGGGGTCCGGGGCTCTGCCGCTTTTTGATGCCCAGATAGATGGCGACTGCAAGGAAGTGGGGGATTTGAAGCGTGGATGGGCAATGGAAGTGGAATAATGGAGATAAAGGGGTGAGGTGATGTGCATGTGGGTAAGTGAGTGAAAGAGAGGGGAGGGGAGAGAGAAATAGATTAGAAAGATGCATGACAAAACAATGCAGTCTGTTCTGAACTAAATCATTTTTTAAATATGCCAGTTGTCTTGAGTGAATACTTCACAATGAATGGATCAATAGAATAATGAAATAGTCCAAACATGAAATATTAATTCAGAAACATGCACTGAAGGTTTTTTTTCTCCAATCAAGTTATAAAATGTCAGAAATAGTAATACCTTATACCAACAATAATATACGTTTTACCTTTCAGTAGAATTAGGAGTTCTTCAGAAGATGCTGATGTCACTACATGTTTGCAACTACTTAACGTATCCTGACTTACATTAGGATATAATAAAACACTAAAAGGCTACTACAGTACAGCAACATGATGTTTCAAACATGTATGATGACAAAAGATTACATGTACTTCTTGCATGTTTTAAAACTCCTCTATGTAGGTTTTGGGGATTTGGAGACCCCCAAACCTACACAGTTTTTTCTCTCTGGTGGAAATTGAACACAATCTGCAAAAAAACATTTTGTAACATCGGTTCTGCTTCAGACTTCTTCCCTGGGCGGATGAACTCAAAGAGTTCTGAAAGAAGGATATGTCTTGTGAGAATGTAAGTAAATGAACTACTGTTGTGATCATATCTTCATGAGTATAATGTTGATTTTGCTTTTGAGACTTAGCCTAGACATTGAGCCAGACCTTCTTTTTTAGTGTGTGCATGTAAAGTTAATATGTAAAGACATATGACATGGTCCAAAAAACTCCTACAAAATCAGACCCGACACCTCTAACTTTTAAATTATTAATTCAGGCTATACAGGGAGACTTACAGCAGTGCATGACCATCAAATTTTAGTGTGTTTATTTTCTTCTGACTCAATAATGCTACTCCTTTCAATTTTAACAACAAAAAAATAACTTGGTGTAGCTTTAAGTATTAGCCAGTTACAGTATATATGCCTAAATATACACATACATCCTCTCGTTATTGAAAACTATGATTTTTTTTTTTTAGTCAATGTCTCTGCATTATATGCTAAACCCCTGTTGCACATGCATTATGAATGCTTTACCTTCTGAAAGACCTGAATACTCACACTTCAACAAAATGCTCAATTTCAAGTATGGACACAATTACCTTCATCAGCATCATGGACTCATGTTCTCAGTCACACAATACAGTACAATAACAACAGGCATGTTGCAACGTACTACAGATGAACATCATTCATTAAATTCCAGTGCACAGCATGTCCTTCAAACCATTCCAGGTTAATGGTAATGATTTTCTAAATGGGTTTTCCGATGAATGTTTCATTTATGGGGTTCACACTTCAAGCAATATCCAAAAGCAGAGGATACTGCTCTGTGAATCGAACACTGTTACAGGTTAAAAGGGGCAGGACAGATGAGGGGAGGGAGTCTATTCTAAAATATTTAATAGTTAGTGCACACCACATAACGTGTACACAGTCTCGCCAGACAGAAAATTAGTCGCATGTCCCCTTGCCTTAATGACAGCATGAATCCTGTCAGGTAAGGATTACACTAGTCTATTGAGACAGTCCCCCTACATGGAATATGGGAGTGTCAATGTTGTATTCTGCTCAGATATGAAGCTGAAAGTTAGTGGAAGAATGGCCAAAAAGAGAGAGACTGGTACAACCCTTACCTGATTGGTGCTGTCATTATGGCAACTGGATGCTTAGCAAAATATTGGAAAAGAAATTATGCATGTGACTAATTTTGTTGCCTGGGGAGCTTTTATGTATATATATATGTATATATCTGAACTACACGGGGACCAAGCACGTGTTAGAAGTTACCTGTTGTTTTTAACCTGATTTTTTGCTTCTGGGGCTTTGGAAAGGGAGTGGAGAGAATCAGTTTGAATAGTTAGAGCCAGTTTTGCACACACAGGTATCAGCTAGTCTGAATGTTACACCGTCAATAGAAATCCATTTAAACATTTAAACTGTGCTCAGAAAACTGGCCCTTAAAATAAAGGAAAGGCTCAATATTGTGGTAAAAAAAAAAAAGTTATATTGATGTCAGCATTGATCTTAAAGTTCTGAATTAAAAAATAAATTCAATATATTAAGAAATCTAGGTTATAAGTGCTACGGCATAATTTTGTCTGATATGAATGAAAAAGGTAAAATGTGACACTCACCTTGTGACCGGAGATCTGCAGACTCTCTCAGGTTCGTCTGTGACCCTCAAGAAGAAGACAAAGTTTCGTGTTAGGAATCAGCTGACAGGCAGCAAAACAAGCATCTCTCACCCTGCCCTCTTCACTAAACCGACCAATCAAGAAGTATACAGCTAAAAAGCATCAGGGCCACAGTGACATCCCTACAACAGCAAACCAAACACATCACCACTATACAACATTAAAAATTGCGAAATACCAACTGACATTGGGTCATGAGTCAGTGTATCTGGGAAGATTCACATGCATTTCACATCATCACAGTACACAGATGCCAACAGAACAATAGTATGAACCAACAGCAATCTACTTAAAAATATTAACAGTAAATGCATGTATAGTGATGCTATAATCTGCTTATGTTTAGTTTTTTAGGGCTTTTGGGTATGAAAGCTGAACACACTCCTAAATGAATCAGTCAAGTCTATATTAATATAACCTTCAATACTTTTAACAAAACTGAACTGAAGTGTATTTGCTTCATTAGCATTTGCATGTTACAGAGTGAAAACATAAGTGTACAGCTGCACGCATGCAGTTTTACTTGCTGCCACTTAGGGGCGGCAGTGCTCAAAGCAACGTTTATGAGCATTCAGCAAACATGACACAGCAAAAGTCTCTACATGCCCTTGTTCTCTGGACTCTGGACAGACTAACTCTAGAGAGACGTTCATAAGCTCTCTGGTCATTGCTGTATGCAGAGGAAGCAGATGTGCCTGGCCACCACGATTAGCCTGAAGCTGTGAATGGGATTCTAACGAAGACGGAAAGCTGGTTACACAACTAATCCAGATTTAGACTGGACACTGGACACCGGCTAGTCTTCGCTCTTGTCAAAGTACACCAAACTTAGCACTCGTGTGGTGGCACGACACCATACAGAGGCGGAAGTCCATCTGCAATAGCACACTCAAGGTCGTGTATTATGTGAATAACATCATGGCTGTGGGGATCTACTGTACTCGCCTGATGTTATTTGCGATAACACACAACTGCTTGTGTTCTATTGATTTTATACAACAGCACAATAAATAAAAAAGCAGGGCAAAAAGCCATGAGCATTGTATCAGATGGGCTTCAACAGAGACATTATAAAGGAGGAGACAGGTCAGTGGTTGAAATATGAATGGGAAAGCTTGTAATGCTTAACATGGAGTTTGTTTACAAGTCCCATCCTTCAATAAAATGAGCCAATCAGCTTGTTGTTTAAGCTGCAAGCAGGAAAAGCCACCCTTTATTGTGGAGATCTGTGCAAGTGCAGTAGCCAGAAAAAAGCTGAAAAATTGTTTTTGTGTGTGTCATTTTAGCCAAATGCAACAAAATATTCATGCTGGTTTGGTCTGATTTTATCGTTATTTCAATTGTGTATTTTAAACATTAATATGGCTTTTGGTTTCAGTTTTAACTCTCTCCCCTTTAAAAGAGAGTGGAGCCTGGTCTTTAATGAGTGGAAATACAAGCCCCGTGGCGTTTCCAAGACGGCCGTCAAGCAAATTTTCCTATAATGACTTTGACTTTAACATTGGCAATTCCTACTGCCAAAAAAATAGTAGCCTTTTTCATTACTGAAATGGACATAAAACTGTAGCTATCAAAATGCCCTTGAAGCCCAATTCTATGTTAAACACTATGAGCCAATATGGGATGAATGAGGCCAGTGACAAACTGTCCTAACTTGTCGGAATTTATAGGTGGGTCCCGACATAAAACTATAAGCAGGATATTTTGATAAATGACCTCAACAGAAATGCTACCACCATTAGAACTTCAGGTAGGTCAGTTTATATTGATTGCCCAAGTCCTCTCACCAGAGAGTAAGTAGTAATATAGTGCTGAGTCTATATAATACACTTGAAGTGGGTTGAATTAACATTAAAACCACAAAACGTTAGAAAAGCTTGGTTAGCTGCGTGAATATATGATACTAATGATATGCACATACGCAGTAATATCACTCAATGGGTAGGATAATTTGTAAAATCTTGCAACAATGCTGTAGGAATTTGATGTAGCCTTGCTGTCCCACCCTTCTTCAGAACCTGACCAAACAAGCTGCAGGTCAAATATTGTCTAATAGAAGGTATCTAATGTGTCCATTTTCTGTTTTTGTATTAGCTAAAGTAGAAACTGTAACAGTAGCTTTAGCGTAAATGGAGTCATACGTAGCAACCAGTATGGCACAGCTGTCACAAACAACAGCAAGGGTAGAACACTTCAACCAATCAGACTGCTACTGACACTAACTGTTGTATAAAGTCTCTAAGGTTGACCAAAAAGACATTAACTAGGTGGATGTCTTTAGAGTTTTATGGTTTTCACAAGGAAGCCACATGATGAATCATGACATGACCTGGGTCAAGTCTGGCATTTCTCCTGTGAATGAGTGGCGAGTGAGGGAGAATGAGGAGAATAAACACAAACACAGCAGATGAATGCAGTCCATGGTGCTATGGTATAGAGTGCCCCTCGGTATCCAAACACAACTAGGCTTACGACCCATCTACATCAAGCTGAAAGCCACAGAGAACATTTTGACCTCTAAAAATGCAGCGGATGGTGTCACATGCATTTCTACTGCACTTCCTTTTGTGTTTGAAAGCTCTTCTGGTAATGTCCACAAGGGGGAGCTCTACCCAGCTCCAGTAGTGCAAGAAGAGAACAGGCAGTGAAGATGGGATGCTGGCAGGCTGTGAAGGTGGCCAGGTGGATAGAAGGTGGAAACAAAAAGGGTGGAAAGATGGGAAAGAAGACTTACTAACTGTTTTCGATCCATGTGGCAGAGGGCAGCCCGAGACGGACTTGTTTGAGCTCTGACGCTTAGAGGGGTCAAGATTGACCCTAGGAGATGGAGAGGGGAAAGAGAGGACAGCGTGACAGAAAGAGACAGAAAGAAAGAAAGAGAAAAAGGCAGGAAGATTGACAGAGAAATAAGACCGCAGCTGAAGACTGGCAAGGAAAAAAAAGATATAGAGCACCCAACCTCAGCCAGGACTAAAGAAGAGAGGGATATGTGGGGATTTGGGGGTTAGAAGCTGTTGGTTAGAGTTAATGCAGGAAGAGTTAATGCAGAGTAATGCACAGTTGGCTTTCTAAAAAGGAGCTCATCTGAAGCACTTTGCACTGAAAAGGCATCATAAGGTCAATTGAGCTATGGCAATGAATTTGAACTCTTTGGTAAGAGTGCTGTGAACGATTTGTGGTTAACCAAATCCTAAGAAAAAAATCTTTCAAAGAACAAACTTGAGATTTAACTGGTCAAACATGATGAAGTTAAGATAGTTAGGAAAGATATTTATCAATTTACATGATTCTCAGTATCTTTTACTCTCACTGAACCAAGCTTGTGGCTATACAGATTATTGTGGTCATAAGAGATCATAAAAAATCTTTTTCTGCCTGTTACATTATATTATTATATTTACATTTCATCCCATAAGAACCGCTGGAAATAAAATACCAAGTTAAATCAACATTAAAGAACATGTTTAACGTTTTTCATAAATTCACTGTTTTGGAGACACAAAGGTCCCATTTCAATACTTTTATGTCTTTAATAAGCAAGTTTTGATTTAGGTGTATGGCCTTTCTTTTGTTGTTGTTAGCCATGTAGCCTTTGGCTTGCTAACTAGCAAAAAGTAGCAATGATTTCTGGGCAAGTTCTGCTGCCAAGGTTGACACTTTTGTTCACTCAGCCCCTCGTTCCTCCGAAAACTCATCTAAGACTTCACTTGTAGTAATAAAGTAATGGATTCCCACGAGGGGAAATGGCAAGGCCAAGTGGATGAGGGTATGTTAAAGCTGGTTTTGAAACAGGTGGAAGGTTTTCTTATTACAGCGATAATAAGTGTGTACATCTGAAATGATTTTTCTGGTACATTTGTGCTCAGGAAAGAGCATTAATGAGTTCATTATGGATCCAGCAGAGCATTACTCCTCATTGCACACTAATGAACATTTCGCCTACGCCTGTCTCAAAATTTAGATCTAAGAAATTTCTAACTCTGTTCATTTGACTTTTTTACGTTTCACTCAACAATTGGTAAAGAAGCGAAAGGAAACTGGATCATCGATTAGTGGAACTCCTAAAAGAGACTGCCAAGAGCCTGTGTTTTCGACAGTCGAATAAATGGGGCGAGATGGGCATAATGCTATGCTGCTCAAAGCAGTGAAAATATTCCAGATGAACTGTTCATACTTCATGAGAACAAAGTGACAGTGAAGACTCCCACTATGCACACTGTGAGAATACCAACTGTCTGTGTTCAGGATGCGGCCTGTTCTCTCCTCTTACCTGCGGGTAAGCTTGGAGGTGAGTTTGCTGAAGAGGTTGGAGCTGGCACGGCTGCGTACATGGGGCAGGGGGCTAGCATCGTGGGAAAGAGTGGGGGAGGTGGGCGGAGCATGGGTAGGGGTCCGGCGCTCTCGGAGCTGACCCCCGTGGAAGGTGCTGCGGACGGTGGAGCCTCGGGTCAGGCGGGAACGCTCCGCCGAGGAGGAAGTGGCAACCCCCGCCCCGGCGATACTGTGGGTGGAGGGGGAGGCCGGAGGTAAACGGTGAGAGAGTGAGCTGTGGAGAGAACATGAAAATTACACTGTATTAATCACTTATGTTGTATGTTATTACTGTGCTTTTGGTGTAATTTACTGTTCCAATAAAGAAATACTATAACGCACTACAAATCACACAAATAAATTATTATTCCACTGCTCCACAGACCAATGTCAGGGAGCTTTAAACCCTTGTAGCCACTGCATGGCATTTGGGCATGGTGACCTGTGTTGATGCTGCAGAGTCTCATACTACTTGCAATGCTTTTCTAAAGATTATTAAGGTTGTACATGATTAACCAACTGACCAACAAATAAACAATCATTCAGCTAAAGCTATCGGTTATTAAATGTTAACTTTTTTTTTTGCATTCCCTATAAACATTGGTTCCTATTTGAATAGGTGGGCTATCATTCAAGTTGACGAGTGTTTTTGAACTGCATGCATGAGGGCGCAAAAGGCAATGCTTCTGTTACACAGGACTACTAAAAAAAGCAGGCAACTATAAATAGTGATGTTCAGAACCACTTTTCTTATGTTCAAGGATAATAGCACTACAGCTAAAACATAGACAATTTCAGTCATATGCAAAAGATTGCCCCCCCCCACAAAAAAAGAGTTTTGTTAATTTTCTAAATGAAAGTTAGTTAAGACCTCCTCTACAAAGAACAAACTTAAATGTTTCTTAAATTGTAGTGCACAATTTCTATTTACCACATGTTCCATTTAGTTGAACATGGAAAAAATAAAACATTACATTTTAAATGTGTCCTAACTTTTGGAGAGGATGTGTACCAGCACTTAGAAAATTAACAAAACTTGACCAGGGGTGCCAAAATGTTTGCATATGACGGTATGTTGTCCATGTTCTCTGAAAGAAACTGTGATGCATGGCAGTGTGAGGAAATCACACATGGGTGTGCTTATATATAGAGAAAGATGTGGTGGGCGGTGGCGGCTTTTGAAAGCTACAGAAGTACACTGAGCCAGAGCTAGCACCGGTCATGAAATCTATGTTTGTTTGAACTTAGGGTAGTAATGAGAGGTAAATGTAAGTTCAGGACTTTGACTAGCCCACCATTGTATTTTCTAGTCATTTTATTATTACGTTTTTGGTTATAATCATGAGCATGTTATATTTCTTAGCACCTTGGTGTAAACATTTTTACACGGGCTATGTTTAATAATTTTTCAGTCCGTTTACCTCATATACACATATGCCTGGTCCCACCTATCAGTACTGAATGTGTGTACATATCAAATATTTTGCAATGGCTTCAGACATTTCAAAACCAGAACTATCCAGTTGATAACAGACATTGTGAAGTGGAGTTGTTATGATATTATTCTTGCCAGTTAATGATTAATTACCAGTTAGTCAATGGTCAAAAGAATTTGCAGAAATTTGCATCTCTACAGATTATACAAGCTGTATGTGTGCAGTTCAACAGGTATCTGCATTTATCAATCATACAGAGTATCTGGATACATCTGAACACATAATTTTTACAGAACCTTTTTGACATGTTTATTACATTAAAGATCATGCATGTATGACTGATTATATGTAACAGATAGCTTCATTTTTTAGGGTAATATTTTAAGGGTGTTTATTTAAATGTTAAAATGCTTTGGTGATGGTCAGTGAAAAATTAATTCACCATCAGAGTCAAAGTATATTCAATTCAACTAAAACACAAAAAGGTTCAGCAACAAGGACAACGACAACAGGTTTCCATGTGCTGAAGGCCTGGAGACCTTTCCCTTGACAAGAGACTCAGCTGCTCAAAGCCAATCTCCATGCTTCTCGATGGGGTCTACCATGTTGGAGGTGGCCATGATTTAATCAATGGTACATGACATACTGAGTGCAATAACAGGCCTGAGGCGATATGATCAGCTATCAGATCAGACAGATGGGGCCCTCAGTGAGCCAGCGCTGGCTGAGTGCAGTTAAGCATGAATACACAGCGCAGGATGCTGAGTCACCCAGCTATGAGATTTCACTCTCCCTGTCTCTCTCTTTCAATTCCTCTCTCTATCGCTTGCTTTTTCCATCTCTCTCTCTCTCTCTGAGCGTAGAAACAGCCAGTTGGGCCAAATTAAAGCTGAGCCTTTAGCTGAAAGCACACATGGCTGATCAGCAGAGTGCAAGTGAGGAGAACGCTGAGGGGCGAAGTGAAAAAAAGAAAAACAGAACTTTTGTGGAATCTGCATTGATGTGGAGAACTGAGATAAATGCAAAGAAGAAGATATGGATAAGTTTTCATGACATACGATATGTCAGGATTTGTATTTGTTTTTGACATCTGATAAGTTGGAACAGACAAAGTAGTGCCACGTTTAAAAATTAATATCAATAATTACGAATAGAACGATTTGTATTCAGCATTTCAAGCACTCCACTGCACAAAATCCAATTAAAGGACCTTTCATGCTTTCTTTCTAATCAAACATGCAGTTGGGAAGTGTAGTTTAAGGAAGCTAATTCCTAAAGAAAATTTAAGGAAATAATACCATAACCATGGAAACCAATATCAACAACTTTAACATGACGGCAAAATGTCTCAGATCATTAAAAAAAAATGGAAAAATGTAGTAGTGTTTTTTTGCACTGAATTCACATAAGGAAAAGTGCTGTTATTTAGTATAAATACATGAAGAAAAATATGAAACTCATGCATATCTCACATTTTATTGATTACAGCAAACTGACGTTCTGCTGTAGTAGAACAGTATGCTATGACAGCAGGAACCAGGTGAAACTTGCGCAGAACAGCACAGGTTTTTTTTCTTGCTGCCGGCATTACTTAAACTAATTTCTATCACCAGCACTGCTACCGTTTGCTGTTCAGATCTACACATGTAAACATGCATTGTCCACCATGGATTTATGTCCATTATGGCTTTAGAAGGTGATTAAAATCTGAAACTTGATGATTATAACTGGAGGACATTTTAACCAGTAACCAGAAACTGTGCCACCCTTCAGTAAAATACAGAAATACATGAGAAAGCAGCAGGTGAGGGAGACAGCAAGAGAGAGAGATTTGGCAGCCGAGTTGGGTTGGGTTAGTTCAGTTTAGGTCTCAGTTGAGCAGTTCCTAGCGTCTGGCCTGTTTTGCCCCCCTCAGTAGTGCTGGCTTTGGCGCTGTGCTAACAGATCTCACACGGTGCCTCAGCCTCGCCACTGGCCTAAGGCCACTTCACTTAACGCTCTAAATAACCCCGCGCTAATAGAGCCGCCTCCATACAAACACATAGGCACTAATGGAGCCTCGGATATTAACTCTTTTTGGACCCCCACAGTGCGGGCATTTTTTGCAAACCTGGGGCAGCGTTTTCAGGAGCAGCTGAGCATGTTTGCACACAAATGTCTGAGTGCATTACATCATTTCTTACAGAATATTCTTCAGCTCTGTAAGAAAACATGTCACGACCAACTGTATTATTTACGTTAAACGAAAAGTTCAAATAAGGCAACGCTGCACAATTTTCCAGCTTACCACACATACTATTAACTAAAAAGGCAAACTAATGATACCAAACACATCCTGGCTGTTGACTCTGTTTGTTGCAAGGATGGCTTACATTTGATTTTATCAATTATCCCTTTATCTTGATTTAACAGTACACTAACCAACAGTGGAACTAATTAAAAAATGTTTGCTTATTTCTCAAACCCACTGAAGGACGGTCATAAAGACAACACAAAGGACAAAACTGCACATCATGTAAGCCAATGTCACAAACAAATGTACAAGGACGCGTGTTTAGAAGAGCCTGAATTCAACCAAGCTAATAGCCTCCACTTCTCTAAGAGCACGTGGGTGAGACATGTGCTAGACTGACAGCACTGTAGAGGAAGTGCTGGGTCAGACTGGCTCTGTGCCAGCACAGCCAACCTCATAAGCCGCAGCCCGACCAGTCCATACGCCCTCTCTTTCTCTCAAGGTCACATGACTACTGCCTTCTGCTATGCCCCAGAGACATAACGAGAGAGAAATGGAAAGAGACGGACACAGACAGAGAGAGAGAGAGACAGAAGGAAATAAGAGAGCGAGAGAAAGAGAAAGAGAGAGAGGGTGAGAGAATACCAAATGTGAAATAGACGCCATCTGCCACCTCTGAAATACAGAGCGTCATAAACCAAACCTCAAACAGGCGGCTCTTTATCTACACAGCTGATCACACCACTCCAAAACATACTTCATGTTCAGTTACAAAACACTTTACTGTTCTAAGTTCAAATTGAATTCATCTAGTTTTTATTTGAACTGTTGGTAACAGGTTCTCACCATCTGATGCAGAATTGATCCACAAACACACCCATGCGCCATTTTTATCAGTCTGACACGAATCAACCTTTTGTTCATCAAACTAAATGCTAGCTAGTCATCTGTAGAAAGCAGCTGCCTATCAAAAATAACAGTCTGTGGTTGGGTCATTCTGCATCTGGTCAGCCAAATAACCCGTTTCTGTCGAAGAATGAAGTTCTTGGCCACAGTGAGCAACAAAGCCTTTCAGACTTTCTATTGACAGACAGACATCTGGCTTGTGATACTAGTTAACATTTAACTGCAAACAAACTCTTACCTGTTCTCTTTGCCGTTCTGCAGTAAAGAGTGTCGATCAGTGCTGGAGCGGTCTGTACATACATATGTGTTTCTGCGGGTCATGGCACTTGCTGGGATGTTGTTCTGAAAAAGTGGAAAGAGAGCAGATTTGCTTATATGCTCACCAACGAAAAACTGAAAACACAGCTGTAAATCGCAGCCATAACTGAAATCCATTCTTTACACTTCTGCATACATCTACATGTGCAACATCTGCTGCATACCATAATCCAGTCTTCAGGGATCTGAAACTAGTTGACATTTTGTTGTGCTTCATTTCCTAACATACCCAGAGTCAGGTAATTCACTAGTCTACAGCTCCAGATATCCTTGCTGAGGAGTGTTTGAATCAAAATAAACATAATAAAAAAGTGAACTAGCTATGAGTTCAAGAGACTTAAAACTCCTGCCATAATGCAGTCTTGTCAACAACACAAATGGAACATGCTCTCAGTAATCAGATAGTCAGATAGTAATAAGCTAAATATATTTAAAATCACTTATAGGGTACTTTCTATTGGGAGATGTCTGTCCCAAACTCTAACCCCTAAATTTCAACTTGTGAAAATAATACTTGCATTTTTTTTCATCTTTTTGACTTCTTTCGAAGTACAAAGATTGCAATTTATCATGAGTTTAATTTTTAAATAAACTTTTTGAAACTTATATAAATTAAAAAAATGCTGTCCCATGTTCGGTGGTGAAATATAAAACAAAGAGTTTTAGTCCAATGGGAGGAGCCTTATTTTAGCCACGGCCCTTCATTTTTGAGCAGTAACTGAGACAGCATCCCTGACCCTCATTGCCACATGGTGAGCAGTTAGATCCCATTGTTTTGAAGCAAATGCATCCCAAACTCTGAAAATGAATGCATACCATTAAGAATAGTCTCTACAAAAACACCTATTTTCTGCAATTAAATAAACTTTTTTTGTGCTTTAATGAAAAATATTATGATTTTTATGTATACAACTGTTCAAAGCTGGGTTTGCTAGTCATGTACTGGCTAGTGTTTTTAAGTTCTGTTAAAAATTAGGTAAAACTGTCATTACCAAAACATTTGGTAAAGTTTTATAGGCGATATTTTTGTACTGGTAGTGACAAAATGGAATATTTAATTCAATCATCTGTTTTAATAAAATACACATAATTAAGGCATAGGGTCAAAGGATGAACTCTGACTTTTAACCAATTCGGCAGAATGATCCATGTGCAGTGCTAAAGAGTTTTCCTTACCGTGGTGACAGTGACGTCTTTGCGGCGGTCAGGGATCTCTGCTTTGTTGGGGTTGTTGGCCGTGCTGACCATGGGGCTGGAGGGGGGTATACTACGGCTGCCCACCACGCTGCAGCTGGCCTTCCTTGTAGCCAGCCGCTCCTCTTTCAGATCGGAGTCCCCTGCACTTGTGGGACTGCGTTTAGGGTGGGCTGTCGGCACTGCAGGACCACCTGAGAGACAAAGACAAAATGTAAATGAGAGAGCTAGGAACACTCACTATAAAATGATGTAAAGTAATACAGACAGCTCTACCCTTGTGTACAAGCTGAATACAAATGAGTGAAACAAAAGTAACATGACTCTTCCAAAGCAACCCTGGTGATTTTTTCCTGTGCTAATCTTTATAATTTAACTCAGTTATCTTTACTCTGATAACATGAACTCTTTCCATATCAGTAAACAGTCGTTATAGTATTACAATTATAGCATCATCGAATGTACCCTGCATGTATGTTCTTACATACAATGGCCCTTATTCACCATAGCTGTGTATGATCAAATCTGACCGTTGAACTGTTTTGTGATTCTTCCAACTTCTTCTTTGGCATATATGTACAATCAAACTCACATCTGTTAGGAGTGTGTGTGTAAATTTGAGCATAAATGTTTAATAACCTGAAAAAAATGCTTGATTTGTGAATAACTAACTAAAAGCTATTAACAGTATCAACTATATTACCTAATAAAAATAAAAATAGAAAATAAAAATAATACCAATAATTTATACATAAAGCAATCCAGTACAAACACCGATGTACTATTTGTACCTTCTTAAAACAACTTATTATTTCCAGTGTTTGTAATTTTAACATTATAAAGTTTGGTGAGTGGGAGGAGCAGTGCGCTCACTGCTCAACCTCAAACTCTGCCTACAACAACAGCCATTGGCTCGCAAGATGACTCCCTACCGAACATTTGCATGATTTATGGCTTCGTGTAAATGATATGTAAATTAGGTGCTTGTAGGCTGGTGCTTGATTGTACGAACTGAAGCTGATTCATCATTTGCGCTCAAATTTCAGCTTGTTTTCACATTGTATGAAGATTTCAGGAATCAGATGCAGTGTAGTTCGTACGTCATTAAAAGCGGTCAAATCTGCGTTCTTTATTACATCACTGCGATGAATAAGGGTCGATGTGTTCTGGGGCTTTACTTTATGATATATTTAAACATTTGTGCATCCTGCTGGTGTGGGTCATACAAGTTTCCTCCCTTTCAGTAATGCACACAAAACATCAGCGCTAATAACACCCCCTTGTGGAGAATATTCAGCCTGCTAAATGTGACTGTGTGTTACAGCCCAATATTATGTCTCTAACATTAGCAGAACTGCTTATCTAAATCATATAATCTCAGGCTAAACAATTATGATGCTTGTTGAGCCATTAAGCCTATCTCAGCTTTGCCTTACAATGCAAGTGAACTAGAGGCAGGTAACAAGGAAGGAGGTGAACTGAGAGGAAGTGAAAGTGTATAGACTCACAGAAGTCGCTGTGTCTCCTCTGACGGTGGTAGGTGGAGGCACTGCGCTGGGTTTTGCTGTGGGTGGAGGCCGAGGCAGAGCCAGACGAGGAGGTGGAAGAGTGTTTACTGGTACCGTTGGTTATGGGACTTGGCCGCACTCGCACCAGAGACAGACTACTGCTCGACCTCGACTCAATGCCATCCTGTATAAGGAAAGTAGTATGAGCATATGAGCAAGAGCTGTACACACAAAGTCTGTAGGTCTGATTCCAGGTTCAAGAATTCCAGGATTCTTACCTCACTCTTGCGGCCCAGCAGCAGGTAGGTGGCAGTAATCTCATTATACTTCTGAGTGGTCAGAGCTTCCCTGATCTCCTCACGAGAGTAACCCATACCTATCATTACCTCTGCATGGAGAGGAAGGAAAAATAAATGGAAAAACAGAAATGAAACACAGAGGAAAATATGGTAAAGAAGTAGTATTATGGTGGGAATCCAGCTCCAGAAATCATCATAGTTCAGCTCGAACTACTGTAACTTCTCTGAGTGCACTAACAAAAATCTCCTGAGCAGCAGATATATTACAATTCAGGTGTGTTCAAATAAGCTTGGATCAAAATTCTGCAGGGTGTTAGATCTCTAGAGGCAGTAAAGAAGATAGGGTTGTGGAAAACAATATCTCTTACCTATCCGCTCTGGATCATTGTAGTCCTCCAAAGGCTCTACATGCGGCTTCAGCTCATCACCCTCATATCCAACATTCATCCACTTATCCTTCATGATTTGCTATGGAAGAGCCGACAGACAAGGATAAATTACACTAGAAATGCAGCAATGCTCACAGCAATCCAACTGAAACTTAGTAAGATGAAACATCATCCACGATTCCATCACACTGATTATGGAATCAATTATATTTGATTAGTTATTGTTCAAATAGTTTGTACCTTGATGAATGAAAAATGTACCTGCACAGTACCTTTTCTTCTGACAGTGTATTCCAGTATTGTTTAAATAGTTAATTTATTAATATTTGTATATTCTGTGTGTGTTTTAATTGTGAATCTTAACAAAACAATCTAATTGAATCGTGGTGAAATCTGAGATTTTGTGATGTACTGAATCATTTTCAAAATTAATCATACAGTCTGTGACTACTCATGAAAATGCTTATATTTTGCATTCCCTTCTAATTTTGTTTTTCCATTACAAATTATAGTACAATTAAATTACCATAACTTGAGTGAAAAGTAGAATTTTTACTCAATTTCACTTGATCTATAACATGAATTTCAGAATTTCTTAGAAGTTGGTATGTCCTCCTTCTCCTTTAATTACAGTGTGCACCCCAGCTGGACAAGTCTGTGCAAAAACCTCTGATGAGTAGATCAAATCCACCTGAGAGTCATTTGAACACGTGCTTTACAGGAAGGAATAAGCCATGGCCTTAAAAAGGACAATGTCACAAATATGCACAGTTACCTATAAATAGTGCACAATCTCAGAATATTTCTTCCTTATTTTACTTTTCATAACTTTTCTGTTTTTTTTTCTGTAAAACATACAAAAATCTATAACTTTGTTGTTTATTTCCAGGTATGAATGAAAAAAAAAAAATCACAGATTTTCAGTGTAGTCTCTATCTTTTAGACCCCACTGTAGGTCAAATATTTGCATCCTGAGCATGAAACTAGTAGTTTGGAGATGCAATGAGTCCTCCTCACCTCTAGGGAGCAACGTTTGGTAGGGTTGAGCACCAAGAACCTTCGCAGGATGCTCTCGCAGTCAGTGGACATGTAGAATGGCACTCGATACTTTCCTCTCAGCACCCGCTCACGCAACTCCTAATGGAAGAGAAAAAAAATATATATATATATATATATAGTCTGGCTGCCCATTCAACACCCCATCCTACCAGGCCTGCCTGCACAAGTCCTTCAGGCTCACAGAGACAAAGAGAACACACTTGACCTACATTAGGTTTGACACAACAGACAAAAGCGATGCAGATCATACAAGCTGTGTCTTCATATGCCTTAAAAATGCTTTGCATAGCCTTAAAAAAAAATCCAGAAATAGAAAATACACTGGAGTGCAGTGAAGATGCTGTTCAAGCCATCTGAGCAACCACTGGTTTTAGCTTTGGCAAAAACAACCCAAAGTGGGCAAATAGCTCTACATAAACCATGGGCTACAGCATTTGCCTTGTCTAGGCAAACAACGACTCATGACTTGATCAAATTCACACGGAAATGATCACAGCTAGCTACTTCACCAGCCGCATTAGACTGAAAAACCCAAACTTGTTTACCTTGAGGTTCTGCCCATCAAAGGGCAATGATCCGCTGACCAGCGTGTACAGAATGACCCCCAGGCTCCAGATGTCCACCTCAGGGCCGTCGTATTTCTTTCCTTGAAAGAGTTCAGGGGCGGCATACGGGGGGCTGCCACAGAATGTGTCCAACTTATTGCCCAGCGTGAACTCGTTACTAAAGCCAAAGTCTGCGATCTTGATGTTGGACTCTGAATCAAGCAGGAGGTTCTCCGCCTGAGCAGAAGGTGGTACCAGAGAGAAGACGAACAGGAGGATAAATCGGGAGAGAAAAATAGAGAAATTAATAAAGTCTAACTTTTTTAATAAAGCAATGATTATAATGATAACAATACAATGTATGAAACGCGGTTTAAAGTGAAAGAAGAGCTAGGTCCAATTATATACTTTCTCAGTCAACCGAAAGGCTTGATTTTTTCGACTGGGTCCATTCAGAATTGGTTGGTTTGGTTTGATTAAAACAAACATTGGCGAATCGCTCTGTTAAATGTAGTTTGTTACAGCAAGTGAGAACGCAGCCATCCGAACTGCTATGGGCACCAAATAAGCAAGACACCCTGAGAAGGTCGGCCTTGGTTCACTTCAAAACAAACTCTGCTGCAGTTCATTTGAAGTATGAACACAATACAGACATCTAAACAGACCTAAGACAGAATTAACCGTTGTGCATATGTTTTATCATCTCTTCATAAGTTCTGAACCTGTAATTATAGAATGGATTGTTGGGGTTTTAAAAAGAAGCTGAGGCACATTTGAAGTCATTATAAAATGAAACATTTGACTGCACAAGTAAACGATATTATGCATTAAGGAACCAAGGGTCTCCATTACATAAAAGCAGTCACTCACTCAAGGCTGTTACAGGGATTTCACCCTGCTTTGCGTCATGTAAAACCACGTTAACGCAGGAAGTCTTGTGGCTTATTGCTCTAATATCACAAGACAGATTAGATGAACCAAGACATGAATAAAACCAACGAGGCCAGACAGAACAGAGAACAGCATGATTCAGAAAGTTCGGTAGACATTATAATCCGTTTAATGTATGTCACTGGATGTCATAAAATCTGCCCAATTAGTGTTGACTTTTTATTTGTATGACTTCTGTTTACATTTTTTGGCTCAATGTTAAATATATTAGTGTGAATGCTGGGTTTTCTGCTTCGGTCCGGATGAAGGGAAACAAACTACAAACATAAACGCACCCTAAAAGTAATATACTTAAACAGAGACTCATAGCTTTATGCTGCAAACTTCTATTTGCAGAAATATCTACAGTTGTAAAAAAAAAAAAAAAAAAAGAAAGAAATAAGAAAACAAATAACAAAACATACATAAATTAAATAAATAAATTATAAATATATAAATGTACTTAAACCACAGAATCTTGGTTTAACAAAACTAACTTTCAGGTCCCTGTGAACAATGTTCTTCTGATGACAGTAGTGAACAGCAGATACAATCTGAAAGAAAGATCCAAACACAGAAGAATATCACCATTAAAATTTATATTACCTCAGAAATTTTTGTTAAGGATGACTGAAACCTTTTAAAATGACTACAAATAGCAGCATGCCTGGTGCTAAACATCATGTATATTTAAACAGTCATGCTGCATAGGAAGACAACTCAGAAGCATTGAGCAAGGCCTTGGGGACTGCAATGTCTCTCACCTGCCGAAATTTAGCTCGCGCCTCCTTTTCCTTCATTCTCCCATGGGCCACGAGGTAGTCGAACACTTCACCTGTTAGAGAGGAAAGACGAGAGAGAAAGAGAGATAGAATTCACATTAGGCTTCATCTGTGTACAACACACCAGGTAAATAAAAGGACTTTTTAAAACCTTGAGGAAAAAGCTAAGTATGCCTACTACTATAAGTACTCAATAAATGAATAAATGCATCAAGATACACACAAATTACAGCTTAATATACAGTATAACACACAATATAATGCTATATAGAGGTGATTAGAAACATCCATCTTATAGGCGCACTTCATGGCGCATCTGTTTTTGCACAATTTCTGACCCTCTACCCCGTCCATCAATGGAAAATGACCACTGTACGGCCACCACTGATTCGGTATTATTAAAATGGCTACTAATAAAGCCTTCGGTAAGTGTACACCACTGTGTCTGATACACTCCCACCAACATCACACACAATAGCATGCTAATACCATTGCCACTGCTGTGCCAAGAATGACCCACAACCCAAAGAATATCTGCTCAGAAGGAGCCCTATGGTGGTTGGTTTCCATGGCTACAGTAAGTAATTATGTACTTATAATACACATCTTTACGGTAGGTGTTTCTGATTAAATGTCCAGTGGGTGTAGATACAAAAAAGGCTTTTAATATAGAAAGAAAGCAGAACATATTTAGATGTTCTTGCAGCATTCCCACTCTTTTTAGGAGATCACTTTCCAAGACTTACATGTATGACAGCTGATTCTCATAGAGAACAAATTAGAATGACTTCTATCTGCAGACATCTTTAACATTAAAGTCAACATTACATCCCTTAATGACCTCTTACTGGCTGAGTGAAACACAGACCTCGTTCACATTTGATATTAACATCTGTCTCGCGTGATCCGATTATAAGCGGACAGCAAACTGTATAGCCGCATGCACCTGGCATTTCCATGTGTCTTGAATGAGTCTCCAGTGAACACGTAATCGGATTTCGTGACTGGACAAAAGGTACTGTCAGTCTCTCACTGCATTTGTGGCATAAATGTAAGGGCTGTTTGTTTACAAGTTTAATTCAACTTGTAAACAAACAGGAGAGATGATGAAAAATAAACTATGCAGCTGTTTTCGTCTCTGCTGGGATGACACAGCTGTTTAAGGTGGTTCTTCAACGCTGTCTAGGATGCATCGAGATGCTTTAGCATTCACACAACAAATGTTATGTGATCATATGCATTCCTGGTAGTAGACATGTGCCTGTATTCAGTAATTTGGAATACTGCTGTATGGAAAACACATGGTAACGTTATTGTGAGCACTTTAGAATACTTTGAAATCCCTGAAGTTTAGTCATACAAGCTACGGTTTCACTGGAGATTTGTTAGCTCCCAATGCTAGCCTTGCTCTATGAAAACAGCATTCATCTGTCCACAAGACACTACACCACACCTTCAATAAATAGGGCAACAGTGGCTAAAATATACAATTTCAGTGGCTTAATAACTCAACTTTATACTTCTCAAGGACCTTCCTAATACTTCCAGCATATTTTAGCAATTTTCTCAAGTGTTTACATGACTGGAAAATTAGTCTCTAATTTTCCAAGTTTTCCTGGACATGTGGGAATCCTGTCTTGTTCGTTGTTCCATAACATCATAACCCAACTAAACTATTTAACATTCTTATATATGTATATAACATGTAGCAGGACTCAACCATTTGGGTGAAAAAGTGAAACTGAGTGTTTTTTTATTTTTGGCAAAAAGACCAATTTTTATGTCTTGAAGCTTGTGTGCTGTATGTAGTGTAACAGACTACTGGTCAGTTGTTGTTTGTCATGTGGGTGTTTGCTTCTAACTGGTCTAACTCATCTACAGGCACGTCCCAATTTCTATGTTATTATTTCTCTGCTGATAATATAAGCTGGAATTAAAAAAAAACAACAAAAAAAACAGCTGTTGAGATTCCATATAAAAACGATTAATCTTTCAGCCATAACGTATAGCCAAGATAGGTCTTAGGACACTAGCGAGAAAGGGCGAGTTAAACCACAAGCAAGTATAAACTGTGGTTTAAAAGCGGATGAAGGGACAGGTTGCAGGTGGTTAGCATATGCACACACGTGTCTCAGCCAGGACAGATTGGGCTTATAGCGTGAGCGTGTGGGCTGCTAAGCTGGCAGCAGACTCGTAAGCCGGCAGTAAGAATGGAAGACAGGAGTGGGTGAGACACAGTAGAGTTAAAATAAGCTTCATTTAGCTAAGAATATCCTTAATGGTAGGAGCGGAGGCTGCTTTAAGAGTCGTGGCTGGGCTCAGTGAAGGCACTGCGTGCTGTGATACTGCAGGTGGACAAATGATAGAAGAGCCGGAAACAGGCTTAAAAGCTGCTGTCAGGGTCCAGGAGCTGACTGATGTGACAGTTATATGTAACGTGTGTATGCCTGCGTGCATGCGTTGAGTGAAAGGGATACTGAGTCTGAATACATGTTTGTGCATGTACGTTCCACAGCTGGAGGGGACATATGCGGATAATAAAAGGAGGCTGCATTTCTTCTCTGTGTGCATGTGAATGTGAGGGCTTGCCAGTGTGCATTTATGTCAGGCACAACATAAAAGTGGAAGGACAGTGATCTAATGAGGGCTTTCCACAACTGACCTAAAAGTAAATGTTAAATCTGAGGCAGGAGATATGTTTCTAAGTATATAAAGAGATTGACCTGACCAAAGGTATGGGTTGGTCTTGATTTTGCATGTATTTGAATACTAAGAGTGTGCAGACAGAACATTTCCTTACCGCCACTGGCGTACTCCATTATAAGGTACAACGTCTTCTCTGTTTCAATCACTTCAAAAAGCTGAACTGTAGAAGCAAAAATACAAAGAAATCAGAGGGTGATTCAGAGTTAATGCCGAAAAGCAGGACTATGGCAGCAGTGCCTATTCATGGACTGTGGTATTGTGTATTTAGTAGCCTTAGGCGACTAATTATTACTGAATTTTGTGATCACTTTAAGCTACATTATTATTCAAATTAGCACTCTTTCACTTTCTTTCAGTAGCCGTGTGATATCTTGTTTCATTTTTTTAAGCCATTCCCTTCACACTATCCTTCTAATCTATGGTTAGTTCAAAAATGTATACAATGGCTAAGACTGCACTTTACAGACTAAACAAATAGAATGTCACTAAATAACTAACTACACATGCTGAAGTCTGATTTACAGTCTGGCAAAGAAAGCTGAGGAATATGCAAATGAAACCAAAAACTGCAGTACACCAAGTCTACTCTAGAAAGTATAATGGATGAACTAGAGGAACGTGCCAGTTTGTTGACGTTGCCAGTCAGTTAATTTGATGGACCCTCTTTTTGGCTGCGAACCACACCAAGCATAACATACAGAGCTGGACATTGTAACCTGAGATGTGTCTCAGCACAGTCTTTTACTTACAGTCATAGTTACTGGGTTGGGAACAGTAACTATGAATGTAAGCACAAACTAAGAACTCACAGTGCTGGCTCTTACTTTGCAGTAGTAGTGCATAAACAGTAAAATGTAGACTTTTAAAACCATAATACCATACAGCACTTTTTACCTAACAATGTAGAACTGGGAGAGAGAGCTGAGGAAAAATACAGAATGGCACCCACAGAGACACTACTTTAGAGGCTGTAGGTTTAATAAATTGTAGCAGTCTCTATAGAGCTTGAGTAAATACTGTAGCTTGGAGGATGGAAAAATGAGGGAGTTTCATGGTAATTGAAGCTGTAAATATTTGCCTAAAACACAGCACTCACCTATGTTTGGGTGGTTGAGGCCCTTCATTATCCGTACCTCTCGAAAGAGCTGCAGAAGAAACAAATCAGAAAACACAAAATTTCTCAAAACAACATTTTTTAACAATCAATATAGATATATATTAGAAACATTACTTAAAAAATGTAATTCACTTGCTGCTTTTCTCACAAAAATGACAGAAGACTGAAAAGACGATCTGCCTATATGGACAATGCATTAGATGCTTTAGACTATCAGGGTCTAGTGCTGGACTATACTGATAAAAATGCATTGTTACAGTATATAAGAAAGACTTACAAATGTGACATGGCATGTTTAGGTTGGACTATTTTGTTCTGTTTTTCTTAACCAAACAAAAAACAGATCTCCAGAAAAGAAACTTGCTATTCAGTTTTTATGCATTTTGAACTTTTTTTTTCTGAAATTACAAAATAATAGTGAGATGTGGCAGTAATACTAGAATACTGGTAAAGACTGTCTAGTACTAACAGGGTCAAGTCACAGGAAAATCCACTCAAAACCAGAACAGAGCAGAAAGTGTTGCAGAGTCCAGGTGGTGATTGTAAATGAACATCCATCCATTCATGAAGTGACATGTACTAATGATTAATCAGCATATAGACAAACCCTCTCTCAGCCCACCAACCCCTTGCTCCCAATCCCCAGCTCATTAATCACTCAGTCCAGGGGTCCTCAGGGAACTGGACAGGACTGAGTACACATTCCCAAAGGGATAAGACGAGAGAGAGGACAGAATGCTACAAAGACACGGGTGATGTGTTTCAGCCTATGGACAGTACAAGGTCTATTAGTGAGGGTCTGTGGGTTTGTTAGTGTGAGTCTGTGGGTTTGTTAGTGAGGGTCTGTTAATGAGGGTCTGTGGATTTGTTAGCGTGAGTCTGTGGGTTTGTTAGTGAGGGTCTGTTAATGAGGGTCTGTGGGTTTGTTAGTGTGTATCTGTCAGTGTGGATCTTTTAGTGTGGGTCTGTCAGTATGGGTCTGTCAGTGAGGGTCTGTGGGTTTGTTAGTGAGGGTCTGTTAATGAGAGTATGTGGGTCTGTCAGTGTGGGTCTGTCAGTGTGGGTGGTGGGTTTGTCAGTGAGGGTCTGTTAGTGTGGGTCTGTGGCTCTGTTAGCATGGGTTTGTTAGTGTGGGTCTGTCTGTGGCTCTGTTAGCGTGGGTCTGTTAGCATTCTGGTTTGGAGAGTTCAGATTTGTTCTGTCAGTATTCATTTTCACAAACAATACAGTGTTTCCACCTTAAGGCCAAAACACTGCTAACAAGAACGTGCCAGATTCAGAAGCAAGAAATTAAAAGTTTCAAATCACACAGCAGACAGTCACTCACAAACAAATTAATAGGACGTCCCCCTAAAAATAGCCTCACAAAGCATCATATTCTATTAGTTTCTTGCAGAAATAGGAGGATGCAAGAAAACACTGTTCAGAAGAATGAGCAAGAACCTATTAGCTCAAGCCCCACATGGCTCTGTTGTTTTCATGTCTTCTGAAAGCATGAAGGAGGACAACTTCCCATGAGTTCGACTGACATTACTTCAAAGATCAGTGCCACTTCACCAGTTAACTGCTCTTCCATCTGCACTCTCTCTGAACACTAAAGATCTAGTTTTCCAGACACAAAGCCCAGTCCTGGATTACGCTACTCTGTTAATGGCAATTCCCCATTGGCCAGTAAATGATGAAGCTTTTACTGGGCCCAAAATAGCAGGTCTTTGTCCAGAAGCTGGCTGACTGAAGACATATCCCCTGTCTCGGATACGTACTTTCCTTCTTTCCTTTTGCCAGACGCTTTAACCTGACAAAACCGGTATCGCTGCGGGTCTGTTCTTTATTTACAACACAGAGAGATAAAAGATCACAATCATCATCTACTCAGTTTAAAATCAAGGTCTGCGACACTGTTTCACTTTAACAGTGAACTACCCACTTTTACCATGGAGCTAGCAAGCCTTGTAAGACTTAACTGACCTAGTGAGTTTAGAAGTCGCTTTATTGCCCTATTAAAGTGTAGGTGCATAATTACACACAATTACACCTTTTGTTTTAATGTTAAGCAATGAAAAAAATGGCAAAAATATGAATTATGATTTTTCTTTGAGTGTGAATGTACACACAACAATAACTGCACCAAATTCAGATAATAATAAAGTATCTCCTCTATTTACGAATTTAAATGTGGTATTAATTGACAGCTTAGAATATATACTTTTGACACTCTGATCACTCTGCTTGTTTCAGCTTGTTTCTACAAAAAGCATTCTTCTATTGTTACAATGTCAAGTTCTTAACAATAGAAGAACTCTTTTTGGTGCAGTATAGAACCATTTTCAATAAGGTTCAATATAGAACCATATAAAATACACTATCAGTATAATTTAGAAGAATCATTTCCATGCAAAAAAAACATTTAAGCATGAAACAGCTCTATACAGAAACCATTTCTATATAGTGTTGCACGGTATACCGATACTTGAAAAGTATCGCGATACTTCGTGATTAAAAACGGTACAATGCCCCATTTATTTAGTACCGGTACTAAATGAATGAGCATGTTTTAAAATAAGAGCGGTATTTCCAACAAGTGCCACAGGGGGCAGTGTGCGCGCGCAGCACTCCAGCGCTTACCTCAGAGTCAGAAGAGAACGCGTAGCATGGCTGCTAATACCAGCGATTTTGCAGACCGTCCTCGGCTTGTAGAAAAAGTACACGTGCGAAGCGAAATACTGAATTATTTTGCATACACATCTGACAGGGCAACCCCGTGGACACATCAAAACCGGTCTGCAAAAGATGCTTTAAACATGTACAGACCAAAGGAGCCAACACCTCCAACTTAGCAAAGCATCTTTCTGACAGACATGCAGAGTTGTTTAAAGAATTCAAAGATCGTCAGGTTAGTGAATATGATATAGCTATAACAATTACATCAAGCTCAAGTCAGAGGAGTGGGAGTCTTTTTGCGTCAGTCTTTTTCATGAGGCAGTTTAGGGCAGTGATAACTGTTCAAGTTAACTGACTTTATCTTTTTTGATAACTACCAATGTGGCGAACTGGTAACATTATGTTTACACTAACTTCCATGCTGCTAAATATCAGGCGTTCACAAGCAGATCAGCACCAGTTATAAATAGGCCTGTCGCGATAATTACGTTATCGACTTATCGTATGATAAATGAATATGACGTCGATAATTTTGGATGACCTCGATAATGCCGCTGTGTTTATTTGCGTGTATTTAAGCAGATACTTTTAACCAGGCGCGCTGTTCTGTTCTCCCGTCTGCTCTGAGGCGAGTAGCCAAACACACACACACACACACAGAGAGAGAGAGAGTACAGATTTACTGTAGGCTTTCACACAGTTTAATCAAGGGATACACTGACATCTGTAACTTCTGTTTTAACACAAGTCAAAACCGCTTTAGTTTTCCTGTGTGTACTACGCGGCAGCGCAGGAAAGTTCCAGACCTTCACACACGCCACGTCTGGACTTGCAGCGCGCTCAGATTGAATGTGGTCAGTCAGGCAGCTATTTACCCTATCTGACTCAAACTCAACCAGAGCTGCTGTTGACCATGTGAATGAACCTCGTGAGGAATCAGACTCATCCCCCCAGTTCATCACTACAGCAAATGGCCCTATCAGCATAACCTAATCTTTATATGGTAAATATGATCCGATCCGTGACCCTAAAACCAGGATCCTTTCTGATCACTGAGTTTGTGAGGAGATCCCATTAACATGATTGAGCTGGTATGTCAACTTTATTTAAAAACAGTGTTTAATATGTATGTGCATATGTACACACATGCACACATACAATAAAATCGTTTATCGCGATAAATCCTGGGACAATTTATCGTCCATTAAAAACAGTTATCGTGACAGGCCTAGTTATAAACGGTCATTTTAAACTCAGCTGTACTGGTAATTGTAATCACGGCATGTACATTTTTGTCAATCATTTCTATTGCTAAAAAAAGGCAACTGCCCTAGACGTGTATTGAGTGTTATTAAACGGATTAATCAGTGAGATCTGGTTGCAAATACAAAGTTAACTATCAAAGAAATTCCATAAACTCAAGGATACATAGGACATCAGATCACTGCACACAATGTAATAACGATGTGACCTTTCTAATTTAATTAGTTTTAATAATCAAAATATTAATGTTACAAAATGTACATATTCTTACACGCATAAAACATCGTTTCAGTATCGGTATTGAGATATTTAGGTAGGTATCGTAATGAAAGTCATAAGTTTGGTATCGTGACAACACTATTTCTATATAGTTTCTACTTTATATATAGAAACTTTAAATAGAACCAATGGTTCTAAATAGATAGAACCACCTAAATAGAACCATTGCCTTTATTAAAGAACCCTTGAAGAACCATCTTTTCTAAGCGTCTAGATAATGGTAATATATGGCAGTAATATAAAAATAAAGTGAATAGACCAAAACGGCGACAATAGTAACCACGTTCCAATCCAACAAATTGCTTTTGAAGTCTTTTATATGCTTTGCTTGTTAATATTGCCAATTTTTTTTTATCAAGTATAGGCTACAATATTGCAGAGACTAAACTAAAGCACTTTTGAATCTTAACCAAAACGTTCCACAGATTTTTCCAGCTTTCAGCGTCAAGGCTTTCACTGGATATACTGTGCACACTCACAGAAAACATCTGTTCAGTTCACTAATCTGTTTATGTCACACCCGTATGGCCCACACTACATTACTGTGGGACAGGTACATTACATAACGGCGGTTAATGTTGAGAGGATTAGTGCCAGCAAGACGCGTACACACATGAAGAAAACAACATACCCAAACACAACCATACAGCGTGCCTGATAAGCATACAGGTACAAGTCATCCATGCCTCTAGTCTGCGTCATGTGACGCTAATGCTAACTCAAAGCATCGCCATCAACATGACCTGAGAATATACGACGCCAAAAACACTCCATCCCCCAACAACCACACACACTCGTGCATGCACACACAGTCTCTTGGGATCG